GCATCCCAGCACTTTGCTGCCAGTCACCCCCCAGCCCCACTGCCAGGAGGGAGCACCAAAACCCCCCACCCCGCTGGCACTGGAGGATTGACCCGCTCTGCACCCCTGTGCCCCCAGCTGGAGGATTGACCACAAGACGATGGAAAAGATGGAAAAGGACCAGTTTGGCTCATTGATCCAGGGACATCTCCCAAAGTCCAATGGAACAGCCCCAAAATCCAGTTCCTGTAGGATGGGGCGGCGTGTGGGAGCAGCTCCAAGTCGTGGAAGGGGATTTGGGGTCCCTGAAGATCCTGCCTGGATGTTGGAATAGCCACGCAGGAATTCCTGTGCAGCTGGAGAAGCTGGGAACACCCTTAACAGGCCCCATTGGCCCAATCTCCTCCCACCCACAGAGATCCACACCTTCCAGCCCTCTTTTTGCTAGAGTTTGGAATAACTCAGCAGGAACTCAGATTCACATCCCCTCCCTTCTTGCCCCAATTCACCCACCAAGGAAAATTTACCCTTTCCCCAGGACTTCCCAAATCCCAGCAAACCAGGGTCATTGCTGTTCCACGCACCTTCACTGATCCTCCTCTTTCACCCCCAAATATTGAGGTTTTCCTGGTTGAACCCTTCCCAAATAAACCCCCCCTTCCCTTAAATCATCTGCTACACAACTCGGGATGCTGAGGAGCCTCCTGAGGCGTCTGGGGGATGCTGGGCCCGCACCCACCCATGGAAGGAGGATAAAATATTCCTCCCTGGAGATTTGGGAAGATCTTTTTTGATTTCTTCTAATCCCTGGAGGAGCTGGACAGAGCGAGGAGCGGAGTTAAACAACCCAGCGCTGCGCTTTCCGTGCCCGCGGTTTAAGGAGCGGGGGGGGGAGGCTTTGCAAAAAACTTGGGAAAAGCGAGAGAATTCCTCCACCTGTTTGCTTTTTAATTTTTTTTTATTTTTTTTTTCTGGGTGAGGAGAGGGAGGAACAAAAGCTGGAGGGTGGGAACAGGGCCCCGGCACGGAGCCGGGGGCAGGACCCGCCGCTCCCACACCCACGGCGCGGGGGTGGGGGGGCTAAAGGAGCAGCCGCTCTTCCCGGCTATAAATCCCGCCGGATCCGGGCGGGCCGGCGGTTATTGAGATGCAGGGAGCAGGGGACGGGGTGACTGGAGACTCCATAAATATTATTGGGGGCGACGGGGCTGCGCGGGGCCGGCGGGCGCAGACAAAGCGCCCATTGAGCCGCCGGCGGGGCCGCCACGGCCCAGCTGCCGAGGGGACCGGGACGGGGGTCAAGGTCAGAGGTGGCCCCTGCCTGCATTATTCCCACCCCCCCCCTCCCCACCTCCACCCTTTTCCTCATGCCCATAAACTTAGTAAAGCTCCCCGGGAGTCCCTCCGTGCCCGCGGAGGGCGGTGGGAGAAGCGGGAGCTGGAAGGGATTGGCCCGGGGTTGTGCCCGCTCTGAGGTGGCTTTGTGCCTTTTTTTGGGGGGTCTGTTTAAGGGCAAATAAGCTCGGTTTAAACTCTGGTGGGCTTGGCACCCCCAGCTCTGCGCTGGAGGAGCCCCAGGATTGGGGCCAAGCTCAGCTGTGCCCACCCCAAACCAGCCGGCGCCCTGGGCCCGCTTTCCCGCATTCCCTCCATCCCGGGGGATTCTCCCTGCAGAAGGAGAACCGACAGCCCCCCTCCCCAGGACCGGGGGGCTCAATCCTGCTGCCACGAAAACTTGGGTTTCCCGGATCTTGGGCTCCCTTGGCAACGCTGGTTTCCATGGCAAAGAGCCGGGAACCTCCACATGGACACTGAGCTCTGCCTTGGGGTGGCATCCAGCTCGTTTCACTGGGGGGCTGCCCCTTTTGCGGGGATGCCCACCCTGGGGTGGGGCAGTTGTGGGCCCACAGGGCATGGAAGGTTTACCTGGGCAGGTTCCTCTTCTGGAAAAGGAGGGGGTTTCGTGGTACCCCCCCAAAAATGCTGCTCCTCATCCCCCGCAGGCCCAGCTCTGCAGCCTCAGGGTTTGAAGGCAGAGCCGTGTCCGGGTGCAGGGCAGTTTTATTCCAAACTCGTGCTGATGAGCCAGCTTTCCCTGCTTTCCCTCTGTCTCCAGGGCTCAACGAACCCCGGCAAACGAGGGGCAGGACTCTGGGTGCTGGTGGGTGCTTTGGAGCCCCCAGTGCTGGCAATGCTCCCAAAGGGAATGTGAGTCACTGCAACATCAGGATCCCTGCAGAAAAACCCAGATGGAAAGGGTGGTGGGTTTTTTTTTTAGATCCTGCACTCTCTGCCCCCTCTTGGCACTGTCAAAGGAAGGGGTTTAATTCTGCTTTCCATCCACGTGGGAGCGCTGGCAGTGACAGACCCTCCGTGGGGACATTCCCTCTGGGAATCACCCCGTTTTTCACCCCAGAGCCCCCATTTTTCACCTCAGGACCCCAAATCAGCATTTCTGTGGGTGCAAGAATCCCCCTGGCATCTCTGGCTTTTCCCACCTCCATCTCCCCAGGGGAGGATCAAGGGAACTCCCTCCTCCCCACGCTTTCCCTCTTGCTGCAGTGGAAACGAATCCTTGCATTATTCCTGCCCTGAAGGAGCCTTGAAACCTCCCAAATTCGACAGCCAAAAATAGCTGTTGCTCTGCTTGTTTCCAAGTGTTGGCTCTGCCCTGATTTATTTACCCCGGCTGTTCGGATTCCTGCTCACGCTTTGAATCCCAAATCCTCCTTGTCTTGGCTTCTCCCCCCAAAACAGGCTCAGCTTTCCTCACACACACACACTCTCACACTCACCTCCACCACCCTGCTGGGAGGAGGGAAATTAATCCCTATGGAAATTTATTGAAATGAATTCCCTCCTGGACACTCAAGCTGTTCCCAAGCCTGGCGAGGGCAGGGCTGGGAAGAGGGAAAAGCTGGGAGGAGGAGGAGGGGTGGGGAGGAAGATGCAGCCATAGGGATAACTCTGGAGACTGGAATTGGGAGGGGGGGTGTGCAGGGTGAGGTGTGGCAGCACCTCCCACCATCCATGCCCATCCATGCCCATCCATGCCCATCCATGCCCATCCATGCCCATCCATGTCCATCCATGCCCATCCATGCCCATCCATGTCCATCCATGCCCATCCACGCCCATCCATGCCCATCCATGCCCATCCACGCCCATCCA